GATGTTACATCTCTGTGCAGCAATTTGATGCCAAATGCGAGGATGCAGACACAGAATGGACCAGTTGCACAATTGAAAATCAATAAGAGAAAGTCGGTGACATCGACAGACAACGGCAAGACGGTCACAAATTATTAGTCTTTGGAAAAGCAAACCTAGATTTCTGCAACGCAAAATATTTAAAAGGCGACAAACGAAAGATAAGAAAAACAATACAAGAATATTCAGTGTAATGAGACACGGATTTCTTTCACGGTAAAATTGGTGGCACTTACCATTTCTGAATTAGACACCTGGGGTCATCCACAAGGGCGTCGATTCCCGGCGCACAAAAAAAGAGCAATTTCACTGCCCGAAGAGAAAGAAGGTGAAAAAAAAAACCCTTTACTTTATAAAGGAGAATTGAAAAAAATTTCAAAGGCTCTCAGAAAAGATGCTGAAATGATTGAGTTGGGGGGGGGCGGGTGGTTGAGAAAATGGAAGCGTTGAGGGGGCCAATCGGTGAGATCTAAAGACAACAGAGTCTGTATTGGCCTCTGAGGAAAAAGGCAGAGTCTGTCTCCATTGCCCAGTGGAGAACACTGATAGATGTGTTTTTGCTGGCATGGGTTATGTTTTTACTCAGGACTGACAGATAGACAGCCCCCATGCACACAGGTGCTATTCAAGGAAACTGTGTAAAAGTGACGTCACTGAGAAAAATCGAGCCCATAAACCTTTTCAGCACTTAAGCTCCGCCCACTACATGTTGCTCTGTTCATATTTTTTTCCCATTTTCTCCATTTTTCTCTCTCTGTATCTCCACATCTCTGCGCTCTTTGTCTGACTATCTCTGTGGGTTTAGCTCTCGCTTTATCAGCCTCTCGGTCCATAAAGTGCATTTCAACAAACTAGGAGGCCATAAACACTTGCAGTAAACCTACAACTAATCTCTTTATCTTTCCATTCCTGTCTTCATCAATCTCTTTATCTGCCTCCATCTCTCTCTCTCTCTGTCACACACTATAGGTTGAACACACTACACTATCCAAATCACTGAGTGTTTGTTTTCATTCCTCGCCGGCACAATATGTTTGTTGGGCTTTTGCAAAATGCACGCAGCTCCTGATGTGAAACCAACAAACGAAGCTTACCCTAATTTTCATAACCCTCCAATTTGGAGCGAGGCTGCCTCTCTTGCTCTTTCTCTCTCTCTCTTTCTAATGCTGAAACACCACTTTGTGAAATTACAGTACAATTTTGAAAAGTAGAAACAGGCAGCAGGCAATTCAGGTGCTCAGCCTCCGCAACAATGGACTGCTGGCCTTGGTGATGGTTGCTAGGCAATGGAGGAAATACAATGGCCTCCTCTGAAACCAAAGGCCCTTAAGTGGACTGACAGGAGCGAAGGCACACACACACATATGTACACGAACTAACAAAACGGAGCGATGCAGGGAGGAGGAGAGTGCAAGTGAAGCCATGCACCTCTATGCGTAGACGCTCGACCGAAATATTGCAGTTGCCTGCTCCCGACCGGGTTGATCAGGCAGGAATTTGTTTGTATTTGGAAATCAAATCCACGGATACGTCCTGGACACATCTGTGCATATATGAACCGTGCCACATGCACGTACTGAAAACAAGTTGAGCGGTCTTTCTGTTTTTGCACACAGCTTGGGAAAACCCGATAGTGGCAGATAATGTTTCAGTCAGAGCGATGTATTGACCAATCGCATGGTCAATACAGCAACAATCAGTCTGGCAGGCTGTCTGCCCCTCCATCTGTCTGTTATTTTTCCTTATCCACCGCTCCGTCCTTGCATATCGCCATTTACCTGCTGCCTCCCTCATCAAACATCCACCCAATCAACCAGCTAATGAATCAATAATCTGAACACAGTCACCACTTCAGGGAACGTAAACTTGCTCAAGTACTGTACTTGAGTACAGTTGTGAGCTACTCGCTCCCTTATATAGTTTATATCTAACACTTCACCTATGCAGATTCAGAATACGATAACAATTAGGATTTCCCCAGGAGGGAATTTAGACATTACTCTCAATCATTTGTCACAGTTCAGTAGATCCAACGGTTAACACCACTGTATCGCAGGCTGGTAGCAATAAAAAAAGGATTTTTTTATCCAGGCTCATTGTAGAACAAAATATTAAAACCAGGAAACTTTCCAAAAGATAATCAGAATAACAAAAGGTAAATGGCATTTTCTGTTCTGGAGTGTTTATTCACTATAACATCATCCTGTGTGAGCAGTTTGGACAGGCACTACAAAGAGGTCGAGTGTGTGTTCACCGCTGCCTGATAAATGCAGTGCATGGCTCATTAAAACACGTTTAATTGTAATAAAGAAGAATTGTAAAAATAAAATAAAGACAATTTATGATTTATGGTTCTTAAGGGGAAAAAAAGTGGATTCTGTGTTTGTATCTCACCCTCAGTTTCCTCTGTGGCCTTCCTCTTTCCCCCAGCCTAGCAGCTCCATCTTTGACATCCTTATATATTCATGATCCCTCCTCTGCACGTGTCCAAACCTTCTCAGGCTCACCTCTCTAACTTTCTCTCCAAACAGTTCAACCTGAGCTCTTCCTCTGTATGCATGTCTCCCTGTATACTCATTTCTAACTCTCTCCATCCCACAGAACATTTCCAGCTGTCTTTTTCTTTGTGCCACCAACTCCAAACCACACATCATAGCAAGTCTCATTACCAGCTCATAAATCTTTCCTTTGACTCTTTCTTCTACCGTTCTGACACTGGTGATCTCCACCCACTCCAGCCTACCTGCATGCTCCTCACCTCTCTTGTGCCCTGTGCCTTGACCCCAAGTATTTAAACTTGTTTTGCTCTCTAATCTCACAACTGATCACAAAGTTGTCTGTGAACATTATAGTCCACAGAGACTCCCTTTCTTGACCTCACCTGTCAATCACTATTGCAAGGTGTAACCTCAGCCCCATCTGTCACTCCTACTGTCTCACTATCCTCATACATGGGCTGCATCAGCCGCATGCTTTCCTGCCACTCCTGGCTTTAGTTCCAAAGCTAATGGAATATGAAACAGGAATAAAATCAATGCATACAAGACAACTTCAGAATACCATCTAAAGGCTGAAACCTTATCAATGTGCACATCTCAAATATGCAACAAAATATGTCCCCACGCCCCAAACAAACAAAAAAAACCACACTCACAATCTTTTAGTCTTTGCCAGGATACAGGTGGGTTTTGTCTCCATCCGCCCTTGTTCATTACTTCTTAGCGGATGAGTCAGTGTTTGATTGATAGCAGCTGGACGGCCGGAAGCTTTGCACGAAAAGGAAACAAGAGCGAAAAATATGTTAGCAAAGTTGGCTGAAGTGTGAAACTCCAAACTTCTGTTTAGACTTTCTGGTTTTTGAAAGAGCCACAACAACTTTTAAAGGGACTGAAGTGACATTTGCCGGTGAGTTTTCAAGCTGTGCTGCGGCGGAGTAGCTAATTAGCTATCAAGCCTGCTAAGTGACAGCAGCTGTGCCTTTTCCTCAGTGAAGGTTTGTTTAGTGGCAGTTTTATTTGAACGGGAATGTCAAGAAGTGTGCTCATATTTGTAAGTTGATAGGAATATTATATTATTATTTTACATTAGGATGTTATTACCACATGGGCTGTTGTTCAAAGGTCGCGGTTCTTGATTGAGTGGTAGCAGGCTACCAGAGGCCTGCACTACAAAGCAGGATTTAATCTGTATCCGGGTACTTTTAGGGTTAACTCCGGGTTTTCAGTACGACGAAGGTGATTCAGTTTTTTACCGGGTATATCACCATGGCAACTTATGCTGCAAACTAACCTGTTTCAGAGGTGACGTTACAAATGTCTTTTTTATTGTTTATTTTTTTAAACCTGTCCTGTAGGCAGAGTCATGGTCTGAATGCTTTGTTGTGCCAAACACATTTGCTTTTCCAACACTCTCTTTAGACTCTCTCTTCTTAATGTTTCTATTTTATTTATTAATTTTAATTTATTATTCATATTATTGCCTGTGGGGATATTATGCTGGAGCGGACTGGGGGTGAAGGCCAGATTGGCTAAAAGAAGAAGAAAGCAGAGGAATAGAAAAAGAAAAGGGACAGAACAAAAAAGAGAAAAGGAGGAGGGTGAAGCAAACGGACACGCTGGGCCACTGCTGCAGACCGAGCTCTCACCCAGGAGAGCTGACTATCAGTCAAGGGTGGGAGTACCAGTGGGCAGGCGACTCCACTGCATGCTTTCCACTTCACGGTGAGCCAATGATGGGGACTTGCACCTCTGAGAACCTCTCAACACCCGACAGAACCCCCACAAAGAGGCCCAAGCCACCCTGGAACACAGTCTCCAAGGTAGCAGACGAGCAACAACGCCAAAACGCCCAGTCAGGTACCCCGCCCCAGGCAGGGTATATGAAATACAGCTGTAGAAGACAAATATCTTTTTCAAGGGAGAGCTGATATTTTTTGTATCTACAATAAATACAAAAAATGGCACAAAAAGTCACAAAGCACAGCAGAAGTGTTTTTTGGGGAGATCGTAACATGACAGGACAGTAGCAGAAGCCAACAGTAAGCAGCTAATGTATCTACAGTAATATTTGACTTGTCATTAAAACACATTATATTCCATGTCTTTTTCCCTCACAACACTCATAATTCTCTGCTTCTTTGTTTCTCAGTACATGTTTTGGTTTCTGTAATTTTCACCGCTGTTCCTCACATTACTGTCTCCCCCAAAAATACTTAAATTGTGTTTTTCAGATTTTTTTTCTACTTCTGCTGTGTTTTATTCAGCCCCTGTTGTTTTTGTGTGGTTTTGCAGCAATTTTCAATTGGTTGATGTTTTCTGAAGTTGCACTGACCTCTCAAGGCCACTGTGTATTACCCCTTCATACATCCTGTTGACTGAAGCCTATTTACTAATATAAAGAAATATATTAGAATTTTAAAAAAGCTCATACAAACATCAGCAATCACTTTTTAGCAGACAAAATGATGATCATTCATGATTTTATCTCTTTTCATACTTCGTGAAGTACGTCTTTGAACTGTTGAAACTTCATGCTTCTTCCCGAGCACTTAGGTCTTCGGGTCAGAGGCTGCTGTTGGCCCCACGTGCTAGGTTTAAAACCTGTGTGGATCGGGCTTTTCATGCTGTACAGACTTTATTGACTCATTAAAAAAGCAGCTGAAAACATTTCTATAAAGACGAGCTGCAAATTAATTTGTTTTCTTATATTTTTTTAATGTTTTTATTTTATTTTTCTGCTTATTCTCGTATGACTGAGCCATTAGCTTTTTCTGAATTTGGAGGTTAATGATTTGTCAAGCTAAGTGTGTCTAGTGGGGGGAGGGGGGTTTCCAGTTGTGCCAGTTCAATGCAAGTTTGCTCGGCTGAATGTCTGCGCGATGACAGTCTCAAGAGGCTGAAAAACTAAGGCGACTGAACTGCTTTACGTTTTTTTTTTTTTTTTAAGACTTTCACTCTCATGCAAAAGGCTTCTTCAGACCTTTGCTCAACTAAAGTGATGGGCCCGCTTATTCAAAGAAACTTGAGTATGTGTCTATACAGTCTTTCTTTTTTAGTATTTGTTTTATTCTTTTATAAGCTAATTTTATTATAAATACAACTATGTTTACTGTTATCTGTATTTATCCCATGTGATTCTTGTGCTTGTATGTCTGAGCTCTGCAAGTTTTTTACTTTACTAAAAACAAATTTCTTCTGACGTTTGTGCTTTTGGTGTCAGGTAATCGGAGAAATGGATTTCCCACTGGGAAAATGAATGTGGCCTCTCCAGGTTGGAAAAACATCTTAGAAAGTCAGAGGTAATTTCCCTGCATTCATGTGGCTTCTTGGGTTGTTAGAATTCATGAATTGCAACTTTTTTGTATTCATGTGGCATCAACATGGACACAAGATGGAAAAACTGTTTCAATTTTCAGTATTTAAAGTCTGTTGATGGCCGTTTCCACAACGAGAAATAACCTCTCCAAATGTAGCTCACACTAGGTGGACAGCAGCTAAATGTTAAAAACCTAGTAACAAATTAAAGGTAACCTTTAGCAAAAAAAGCAATAATATTAAACAATTATTCTGACAAACCAAGTATAAACTTTCAATTCAGTT